TTTCTGATGCTTGCCTTATGAGTAATAAGTGGAATCTGTGGAGTTTCCTTACACCATTTGTCCATCTTGTAAGGGGTCAGTGAGTGAAAGAGGATAGCGTATTCCACATATGGAACCTCCCACCACACTAAAAGGAAGAATAAGTTTTCCTAATGCCCCATGCATTCCCCTAGCGTAGCACTTCCGGCCCCCCTGGGAAACCTTTAAACATGTCATTTACCATATAAGGCCTTCAGCCATGTGAGCTGAGTGAGGATGTCTGTAATAGTCTTAGCATTAAATATTAGGAAACCATTTTTCTGGGGCTGGGGATTTAGCTCAGTGGTTCTGTCACTTGCCTCAAAAGCGCAAGGACCCGAGTTCAATCCCTGATACCAAAAAAAAAAAAAGAAAAAAGAAAACCATTTTTCATTTTTATTTTTAGATATAAAATCGAAATTAAAATTTTTTTCTTCATGAATTAGTTATCTTGCACATTCCCTAGGGTATACAAACCCTGCTTTGGTGACCATTGCTTTACAAAGAAGTCTGCATGTTAGGGCTGAGGCCAGTAGGGAGCAATACATAGACCAGGCTCTCTGCTATGCTGACCCTGAGCCCATCTGGTCGGAATAAAAGCAGCAGTGGCAATCTTATGTGTTTATCTGTATAGACTTTCAGTACTGGTAGCAGCTCAGAAATTCATACCTGTGGTACATAGAAAAGACAGGTAGTTCGGATCCCTCTCTCAAAGAAATCATGTTTGGGGGTAGTGACTACATACATGCCTGTGATCCCAACAGTCACTTGGTCATTTCCCTAGAATTTGAAGAAAGGAAGTCGAATGGGCTCTAATTCTCCCGTCGACTGAGTTTAGAATGAGAGAGAATCGGTTTGAATCACAACTAAATACATTTTCAATTAAGAATTTTGAATTCCCCACCTAAAAAGTTTGTGATTGACAAAGCATTTCCGTTTTGTAAAGCCTTGACTGAAATGAGAGATTTTACCGTGGATGATATCAGCCATTCTTTGAACTTCATCATTTATTTACATAGGGCATTCATTCATTCATTCATTCGCTTTGCAGTACTGGGGTTCACACATGCTAGACAAACACTCTATCACTGAGTTACACCTCCTCCTACCCCCCCCCTTTAATTTTGAGATGGGTTTCACTAGGTTGCCCAGGCTGGCATCGAACTTGTGATCCCCCTGCCCCAGCCTCCTGCAGAGTGGGATTACAGGCATGCACTGCCATGCCCAGCTACACAGTGCTTTTATTAAGCAGCTCCTTCAATGCTTAGAACATGTGCATAAGTAGGTGGACGTGGTGCCATTGCACAGACATGGACAGCACTATCTGAAAAGTTGGGTGGCTTGTTGGCTCAGCTCTCTGCAGTAGTAATGACAGCATGGGGGAGATCTTTCCCAGGTGAAATCTTCTCCTCTACCTGTGGGTAATTCCCCCAGTGCTTCTCACTTGGCATTTATAAAATACTATAAGCTTTTAAAAACACTAGTTGACTTGCAGAGTTCTTTCTATATTTTCAGTCCCTTTTTGATTATCAAGCCACTGTCAGTAACAGTGGTCTCATGTTAGTAAGTACTATGTCCCCTGTGGTGTAATAATGGAAACTTTTTCCAATGACAGTTTCTCCTTCTCCCACGTTAGCCTACCTCAGGCTTAAATGCCCACAGAGGGGCATTCTCCAGCACATACCCTTCTCCCTGTGCTGGCAGGCCCTTGCCAGCCACCTGCTTCACCTTTGGGTGTTTCCAGGTGCAACTAGAACCCCCAAGGCTGTGCCCAGCGGAGATTAGTGAACACACATTGGGCCCTTGGAGTGGTTTCAGCAGGGACTCTTTCATGTGGCTTTTGTCCTTTCTTCCCCTGTGGAGAGAAGTTGTGGGAGACCACTGTGCTCCAATAATCCTTTCCAAAGAAATGCTCTACTCTAGCTTCTTCAGCCTGTGTCGTAAGTTTTCCACGTACCAGAGGTGGCTGTTTGGCCACTGTCTTGGCTGTCCCTAGTGGATAGTCCTGCGCTGTGGAATGCAGGCACATGTGCCAGGGATTCTTTTGTTACAGGCCGTGGGGCATCCCCAGCTGAATCCCATTTTAACCTTCTGTTCACGATCCCACCTGTGAGCCAGATCTATTAGGGCTTTATGCTTACTGTTGTTAGTGCCTCTTGTAAAAGTCCGCTGTATGGCTCCAGACTGCTCTATTCGAACTATAGTTATAAGGAAATAAAAAGTTGGCCCAAGATTGATTGATTGATTGATGTCTTTTTTTAAAAAGAATGTCTTTACTTTTTTATGGTTTTTAGGAAGTAAATGGCAAAATATAAACCCTGTGAAGTCTCAATTTCTCCATCAACAGGATGAATGCTGGTCTAGCTTCGAAGCCCTGACCATATATGTACTCACTCTTCGGTTGACACCCTGATCTTTGATGTCTCACATGAAGGTGGGCAGTGCTTCTGCCACCAGCTTCATAGAAGAATGACAGGAAACCTTTCGTAGGATCCCAGAGTGATCTCTGCCTTGTAGCAGAGATGTTTCTGCCATTGGCATCTCCCTGAGGTGGGCTCAGCTATCTGTAAGCTGGCTCTGATTTCCACACTGTGGTCTCTAAGAGAATCTCTTTAATTATTTGGGGCCCTTTCTTGTCCCTGAATTCCAGGGGAGCCAAAGCCTGTCCAGTGGCCATTCTTCATATCACTTCTGCCCAGTACCACCTCTTGAGTTTGGTGTGTGTTAGTTGGCACTGACAGCATTAGATTCCTTTTGATCTCTGCAGTTTTCCAGGCAGTCATAGAGAAGAAACAATTTTATTCTCCTCCCATTTTTGAGAAATGAGAAGCGCATATGTGGCTATGTGATCAGAAATGCCATGCAATGAAGAAGCCCCACGGCCTTGCTCTGTACGTCTCACAACCCAGCCAGCAATGATGGCCACAGGGCCGCAGCTGCCATCTTTCCCCCTCGCCCTGCCCAGAGGCTTCCTTTTCAAATTTAGTTAATCAGACATTTAGTCAATTATGTTAAAGGCATTTTGACCCCTGTGATAAATTACAGTCAAAGTGGTTGGCAGAAAACTGGCAGGTTGCTTTTATGACCACCCTCCAAGCCAGTTCAGATTGAATACTTAGTATAAAACCAGGTTTTACATAATGGCTTTCTGTGGAAGTCATTTAGATCTCTGCAGTTTGGTTTTTAGAAGCTTTACAGAGAAGTGAGCCAGGCATAGTAGCACACATCTGTAATCCCAGATACTCTGGAGGCTGAGGCAGGAGGATTACAAGTGCAGGCTGATCTTCGCTACATAGTGAGACCCTGTCTCAAAAAAAAAAAATTTAAAAAAATTTTTATAACAAAAAAAGTGTTACAGAGCTCTGAGTGAAATCCAAAGATTCATTAAGTTAGTTGTGATATATGTAAAGGTTCTTAGTACAGCTGAGGCTTGAGGTACTAAATACTTTATTTTCTGGTTAGCTGAAGAGATAAAAAATTCCTTTCAATTTCAGTTTTGTTTTGTTTTTAAATCCTTCTATAATGTGGTTTTCTTTCCTGAGTTGGGTCATGTGGGAATCTTTATTTAATACTTAGGGATATTACAATGCCCAGGTTGCATTCTTTTGTGTACAACATTATAAAACTAATATAGAAAAGTAAGCAGAGGCTTGGGGAGTAGCTGCTTGGTAGAGTGCTTGCCTAGATGTGCAAGGCCCTATGTTCCATCCCTGGCACTGCAAAAGAAGATTTAGCAGAATCTACTTTTTTCTCCCCACTTGAATTCCTGATTCAAACTTGTTTTCTTGGTATGTGGTCTTTCTCTTCATCCAGAGTACAGTAACAAGTCCAAGTGACTGAAAGTCGCAGTGTTAAGATTCTGGAATATCAAGATGTAAACCTCTGTTGGATTTCAAAAGAGCAAGACCATAGTGAGCCCTTTTCCTTTGAGATAGTAAAAAATTTAATAAAGTAAAGATTATCTCTGAAAGTGCATAAATTTTACTTGAAAGAAGAGGGGGATTTTTGTCCCATAAACATAAATAATTTCAGCTCACTTTTGTATAATGATTAATACATGCCATGCATAATCCTAAACATTTTGATAACTAGCATCTCTTCATTTCCATGGCAACTTGATAAAGTGTGTGCCATTATTATCCTCACTTTATAGATTGGAAAACTAAAGCTTCGGGAGGTTAAGCAGCTTTTCTAAAGTCATATAAGATCAAAGCCAAGTGTGTTCTGTTTCAGAGCCCTGAACTCGCTGCAATCCCACCCACTTGTGAGGTGGTTACAGAGACCCGAAGCCTAAGCCATGGGGGGTGCAGCCTCTGCTCGCGAGCTAGTTGGTGGTAGCTGGTGCCTGTGCTTGTTTGCTTTGGCCCCCAACGCTCCATGTACTAAATGAGGGCACTGAACCAAAATTGGGTTTCTCACTGTGTTCCTCAGAGCTTTGCTGCCCCCAGCAGCCCCATTAGACAGAGCAGTGCCTCTTTTTTTGACTTTCAAACACTAGGGTTCCCCATAGGATGTTGGGGGGAGGCTTCCATTGCTAAAAGTGAATCTCATTAAAGCAGTGAGTTAAAAGAACTGTGAACCAACCACATAAGTGCCTGGCTTTCCCATAAGCATGAGATTTTATGACACTGGAGATTTTATTTTCCTACAAAATAACTTCTTCCATTTCTAAAAAAGAGAAATGCCCTTGGTTCTCTCTCCCTCTCTCTCTCTCTCTTTTTTTTTTTTTGGTACTGGGGATCAAACTCGGGACCTTGTGCTTGCGAGGCAGGTGCCGGAACCACTGAGCTAAGTTCCCGGCCCCTGGTTTTCTATTGATCAAAGATGTCACCTTCCCATCCAGCGGAGTCCCTTAGGCACAGGCACATTTTGTGTCAAAAAGGACTGTTTCATAAACTTACGAACATGTTGTCAGGTTAAGGGGTGAGGAACTGACACAAGTGCGTTAAGTTCATAGCAGACCCCTCTGTCTTCCTCCTCAGAGAAGCCGGTGCTTCAGAGCAGGCACTCTTTGGATGGCTCCAAACTCACGGAGAAAGTGGAAACTGCCCAGCCGCTGTGGATAACGTTAGCACTACAGAAGCAGAAGGGGTTCCGTGAGCAGCAAGCGACCCGAGAGGAGAGGAAGCAGGCCCGGGAGGCCAAACAGGCAGAAAAGCTCTCCAAAGAAAATGTGGGTACCCTGCTGCTTTTCAACTTTTAATTTTCCTGTCCTTTAATTTTCCTTAGCTATTTTAGGTCACAAGGATTGTTTAAAAAAGAAAAAAAAAGTAACGGGGTTGATGAAGTTTATGAAACACAGAAGAGTAAATAAACCAACTTACCTTTAAATCAAGGAAGCATTTTCAGTATGAAATCCGATGTGGTTTCATTATGCTGTTAGGTGAACTTGATTTGCAGAATCCATGGTGAATTTACAGCAGTGACCCACGCAGAGCACCAGTTAGGGCAGCCTCTCCAGTCCAACTTTTCACTTTCCATGGTTTCTGTTACGCAAGGTCAGCCATGGTCCAGAGACATTAGATGGAAAATTTCCGAAATATCAGTCCATACATTTTAAATTGTGTTCTGAGTAGTGTGGTGGAATCTCATGCTGCCCCAATGCATCCCTCCAGGACCTGGATTATCTCTGTCTAATGTCTGTCCACTGTTCACACCACCCATCCGTAGTGGTCTTGGTTATTAGACTGGTGATCACAGTATCACAGTGCTTGTGTTCATGTAACCCCTACTTTAAGAATGGATCCAGAGCAGAACAGGGAGTCAGACACACCAAAGAAAGGCTGTAAAGTGCTTCCTTTGTGTAGAAAGGTAAAAGTTCTTGACTTAGTAAAGGAAAAATATCATATGTGGAGATTGCTAAGATCAAAGGTAAGAGCAAAGCATAGCCTATGTAGGGTTTAGTACTATCCATGGTTTCAGGATCCAGTGGGGTCTTAGAATATGTCCTTCTTAGACAAGGGAACACTAATACCTATGAGAAATAAGTTATTTTATTTAAGCAGTGGCTGGAATAGAAATCTGGAGCCTTGTTCCTGTGGCCACATTGGTCAGTTTACTGGGGCTCTCCTGGGAAAGGAACTTTGTCCTTGGGCCACTAGCGCTGACCACTCCCTCGCTGGAGGCTGGGCTGAGCATACACTGCGCACTAGTGCAGTCAGCCCTTCCTCTGGGAGGCCAGCACTGGTCATGGAAGACCCACAGCTTCAAGGTCAGTCTGTGTCAGGTTGAGAACGTGCCTGCTGTCTCTGCCCACCCAGGCCAGCATCAGCCCACAGCCTGGCAGTGGCAGTGTCAGCAGAGCGGGTTCGCTGCACAAGTCCACTGTTCAGTCAGAGGAGAAGCCCGAGACAACTGTATCCCGGCTTGAGCGAAGAGAACAGCTGAAAAAGGCCAACACCCTTCCGACATCTGTGACAGGTAGGAGCTGGCCCATTTCTGCTTATCTTTGGTTATAAGTTTCTCAGGACATGCTTTTTTCCTGTAGTGTAATAGCTAGCACAGCATCAGAGGCCACAGGCTGCCTTGTGACCCCATTCATAATATGAAATGTGAAAGGGTTATTGTTATCAGAGTATCAGAGTGGCTCCAGCTTCCTAAGGCAAGTCTCTGTTTTGAAGTATTTGTCTTTTCAGTCTCCTAAGTTCTAGAAGCATGTGACCCAGAGATGTGAGTACACTCACTTTTCCCAGAGGCCTGTGAAGAAAGCACTGTGATGCAAAGGAGTTACTAGACAGACTGCAAATCAAAAGAGCTGGCAGGTTCTGTGGGGCTCAGATGGAGAGACCAAGGATGCTTAGTGGAAGAGATACCGTCACTATTAACCTTGCCACCTAGATAGATCCAAAGTGCTGGCTGGATCTTTTTCTTTATGGGATGGACAAGTCTTGACTGTAGTCACAAAATTTGCCTGTAATTCTTTTTCATGCAAGCATAGATTCAATGCATAGAAAGCTAGGCTTCTAGAAACTGAAATGAGAATCAGCTGCACTGCAGTCACTGTTATTCTGTATGGAAGAGTCATAAACTACTGCTTTTTTTTTTGGTACTGGGGATCGAACTTGGGACCTTGCGCTTGCGAGACAGGCATGGGCACCACTGAGCTAAATCCCCAGCCCGCAACAGTCATAAACTAAGCTTGCTTCAAGATCTTCTCACTGAACCCGCCCAGAAACTTACATCTCCTGTGTTTCACTGGGTGTTTCCATTCTGAATCTCTTATTTCTGATAAATCAAAATGTGGTTCTGGAGTTGGGGTGCTAAAAGGTTGGTTAAAGGATGCACAACTTCAGTTAGATAAGATGAACGAGTTCAAGAAATGTATTGCAGGGCTGGGGATTTAGCTCAGTGGTTCCACTGCCTGCCTCGCAAGCACAAGGTCCTGAGTTCAATCCCCAGTCCCCCGCCCCCAATAAAAAAAAGAAATAGGGTAACTATAGTTATAGGCACAATAGGGTAACTATAGTTAACAAAGATTGTATTCTTGAAAAGTGCTGAGATTTTAAGTGTTCTCAGCACAAACATGATAATCTTGTGAGGCAGTATGTTAATTAGCTTGATTTAGCCATTCCACAATGTATGCCTATTTAAAAACATGTTATACAAAAGTATACACATTTCTGTTAATTTAAAAAAATCTAACATACTCCTTTCTCTTTTCCTTTACATCGAAATCCCCAGTGGAAATCTCAGATTCCGCTCCCCCGGCACCACTGGTAAAAGAAGTCCCCAAGAGATTCTCCACCCCTGATGCTGCCCCGGTGTCTACAGAACCAGCCTGGCTGGCATTGGCCAAAAGAAAAGCAAAGGCCTGGAGCGACTGTCCACAGATTATTAAGTAGAGTGACTCATCCATTCCTGGTGCCAGTTCTTGGCTCCTCTCTTGCCCTTTTTATTTATTTATTTTTTTATATGAAGTAAAGAAAGCAAACTAGGTGAAAGAAGCATGTTTTATAGGCGCTCAAGTAATGTTTAGAAACTGAACTGGTGGTGTTCATTGTGAAGAGTGTATTTGCACAACCCTGGGTCCTGGTGCCTTGAGCTTCCCTAGTTCTCAAGAGACAATTCCGTGCAAGGGACCACATGAAGTCAAATCTGCAAACTGAGCTCCTCCAGAGAGAGAGCCTGCTGCACCCATTCCCCCCAACCCCACTGCAGAGGCACACCCACATGCCCTTCAGAACATGTACTTTTGCCAATCTTTGTGAAAGTTTTTGATTCTCCTGGTTTCTTCTTTCTGAAGCATTTGCCCTACCAGATGTTTGGGTATGTCTGCCATTTCTACAGTAAAGGTAAAAAGATCACATATAGAGAAAACAGAATGCCATCTTCCGAATGCAGTAAGTCACTAGGATTCACAAGGAAGAGTCCGGCTCCTAGCTCTGTGCCTCTGTCTGCTTTTTATAAATTGCCCACCCAGAAGCTGGCACATGGAAGCAAATCCACTCACACTTCCACCACACTAGATGCAGTGTGATCAGCATAGTGTGAGGCCCATCACACCAGTACCCTCTTTAAGGACATGTGAAACATTTGGCCCAAATGGCTCCTAGGGGACATTTTTCTTTAATATGGTGAAGAAAGAAAATTCTGTATCAGAGTTACCAAAGCACTCTCTCTGTCTCGAAGACTCTCCATCTACTGCAGTGGTTCTTCAGATGTCCAGGCTGCATCCTAGGCCTACTGACCCGATCCCAGGACAGGGCCAGGGGAGCACATGCTGGCAGACACTCTTTAGATGCATTCTGGTCTGTCCTGAGGGTTCAAACCCTTTGGACACACTGATTCTAGGGCAGTCTAGTTTTCCAGACTCTGAGAGGAGGTTCATTCACCCAAAGAAGCAAAAGATGGGAAAAAAATAACCACACAAACCAGCCATTTATTACAAGATATGACAGGCTACTGACATTGTATGTCTCTGAAAATTCCCTTGGGTCTTTAGAGAAAATTAATAGGAAGCCAAGATCTACAGCTTTTGTACTAGGACTCTAATCAAATAATTCATATTTAGAGTCAAATGTTCAGTAGCATTTATAATTTAGAGCATTCACCTTGCTACCTTTAAAAAAAATCTGTTTTAAGTGGCCTTGTTATCATACACATGTGCATTCAAAGAAGGGACTTGGCAGTTTCAAAGCCACATTTACTTTTATTTTCCTAAATTTGCTTTACATGAAACATAGACATACCAGCAAATCCCCTATATACTGCTGGCACTAACTTTGTACGTTATGGTATTGACATATTTCCCTTTTCCTGGATTCTTACTCCCAAATACAGGTGCAAATTCTTTGCCTAGTGCAGAGTGAATTACATCCTTTTTTTCTCTTACAAAAACACATTTTATAGTATTCATCATTTATTTATGCTTACTCAATATGCAGTGTGATGTTATGCTGTCATTTCCTAAATGACAGAAAAGTTATTTACCATATTCTTTCTAGAAACAATGGCTCAGCTTCACTGTAGCAGCTGGCATGTGTGGTCAAGTGGATAGTTGTATTCTTGCAAGTTGGGTTTAATATTATATATACTGGACCTTCAGAATGTTAAGAATCAATGTAATATTTTTATTGCTATTGGAAGCAGTTAATATTCCACTGCACGTTTTCAACACTGATGTTCATTTCTAAATCATATAGGTAGGCATTTGTTAATTCAGTGATTTCCTCACTGATATAACACTTTTTAATGGCAATCTTTCCACCTATAGCCCTGGAGTTATAGTACTATCTTAATTCTTCCAAATGGACTTTTTCTTTCATCCTGTCAGCTTTACACTGTAGTGGCAGGGAACAGGTGAGGAAATAAGATCATTAAAGAATGGTACATGAATCAGGTGTACTAGCTCAGGTACCAACTAGGCCATACAAAGTATGTTCCTTCAACCAGGTATGGTGGCACACACCTGTAATCCCAGCTCTTCTGGAGGCTGAGTCAGGAAGGTAAGTTCAAGGGCCAGCCTGGGCACCTTGGCAAGAGCCTGTCTCAACATAAAATTTTAAAAGTGCTGGGGATATATAACTCAGTGATCCCTGGGTTCAGTCCCCACCACTAAAAAAAAAAAAAAAAAAAGATCCTTCAAAAAGTTTTCAAAAGAAGAGTCTACTGAGGAAAGGACAGTTGCAGTACTTCTACCAACTTCTAAAGGTACATGTTTAACATTTCATTATACATCCATCTCAAATTTGCACTAAATACCACTGAAGTGTTATTTTGCTTTGGTTATGTTGCAGTCTTTTCTGAGCAACAAATTATGGGGAAATTCTGTAAAAACACAAAGTTCAAGATAGTCTTTTCTTTTTAAAATGAACATTATGTTAGATAATTTTTTTTTTTTTGGTACCAGGGATCGAACTTGGGTCCTTACGCTTGCGCAGCAGGTGGCGAAACCACTGAGCTAAATCCCTGGCCCATGTTAGATAATTTTGTAAAAAATTTAAACAAACACACTTCTCCTGGCAAGGTTATAGATCTTTAACCTTTGTTCATAAGCTTAAATAAAAAACTAGAGTTTTTTTGTTTACTTTTAAAATTTTTCAAGTGCAATTGTTTCTTACACAAACATTACTATTATCATTTTAGCCAGTTATTGGCAAATGTGTAGTATGCATTCACTGTCTCTTCTTGTGATGTTTAATTGCTTATTTTAAAGCAGAAACATTAGCTACAAGTGTCTTGCAATATTTCTACCAACAATAACATTAGTAGAGACTTAATGAAAATACTTTAGTGTGACTTTAATATTATTTTGAGATTTTTGGTTGTATAAAGTTTTAATGTAAAATGTCCATTACTGAGGGGAAAAGATCTTTCAATAAAAAATACCAACAAGATTTTTGGCATTGATGAAAAATTTCCTTTTTAAGTTGAAATTTTTACTAATTTCAATGACAAGTGGTCTCATATTTACACAGCTTTGTGTGAACAGCATAAAGTGTTTTATATGGTACTTTATTATACTTTTCAGTAAGTATTGGAGAAAATGAACGAAGAGACAAATGTTTATCTCAATCCCAAACTGGAACTGAATTGTCCGAGAAAACGATCCTACTGCCTGCTAACAGTACAGGCCAGGGACGGCAGCATCAGCGCCAGCAGAGAGCCTGGGCACACGTGGCTTAGGCTGACTGCCCGGCTGGACCAGGCTGAAAGAAGTCAGGTGTGCAAGGCACTTGCCTCAGCTACAGAAACCTCAATGAACAAGGGAATGATATTTTAACGCAATATTTTAAAAAATCAGAATTACTGCAAAAAATTCCACGATGGATGAAAGATTAAAATTTTAAAGACAAGATCAGTATTACTGACTTTTCCTTTTGCCTCAGGCGCCATTGTGGCTCAGTGGGACACCACTGCCCAGCCTTCCTCAACCCAAATGTGCATCTTATAGCAAGAGCTCCAGGTGATGCATATGTACAGTAAGGCTTGAGATGCACTGACCTGAAAGGTGGGAGAAGATAGCTTATTCTTTTTGGACAGGCAGCACCTAAATCCCGTGTTTGGAGGATTGTCCAACACACAGATCGTGGTGGGAGGCAGTTCCCACTTCTCACCACAGATGAAATGCCTATGTGCTTTCCTGTATTGCTATATAGGCGTGGAACAGATTTCACTTTCAATGGGAAGAAAATGAACTGGAAGCAACTGACCCAAAGATGGGGGAACTGTGAGGAAGCCTGGTAGTGATGGCTGTGATGGGGAACGGTGCCCAGTGTTAACTTAGGGAGGTGGCCACAAGTTGAGCACTTAGAACTTCAAGGACAGCAGCTGTGTCTTCACCAATTTGGGGAAGAGGGCTTGAGCTATAAAGCCAGCAACAATGAATGCCTAAAACCCACATATCAACTCCATCTGTCAACTTGAAACTATTCTGTGTGTCTATCTCTCTACGTACATGTAAAAATAAATGTGTAGCTAATATGGGTTCTAAACCCAGAGAAACAAAATGAATGAGAGATACATATACAAAAGAGATTACAGATTATAAGAAATGACTTACCTGATTATGAAGCCTAAGAGGTCCCACCACTGGCTGCTCGCAAACTGGAAACCCAGGAAATCCTGTGGTATAACTTGATTTATTCCAGGTCTAAAGGCCTCAGTGCCAAGAAATAACCCTGATACAATGTGCAGGCCTGAGAAGCCAGGGAGAGGTGGTGGCTGCTGATTCTAATCCAAATATTAAATTAATCTGTTCTAGAAACATACTCACAGGTATACCCAGAAACAGTGTTTTACCAAGCTATCTGGGCATCTCCTTCAGTCCATTTTCTGTTGTTATAAATAAATACCACAGACTAATTTACAAAGAAAACAAGCTTATTTGGCTTTCAGTTCTAATGGCTGAGAAGCTGAAGGTCACAGGATCACATCTGGTGAGGTCCTTCTCTTTTTTTTGTACTGGGGATTGAACTCAGTACCTTGAGCTTACAAGACAGGCATGGTGAGGTCCTTCTTGCTAGTGGGGACTCGGCAGTCTCACAGTGGCTTGGGGTATCACATGGTGAGACAAAACATCTTTAGTCTCTCCTCCTCTTCCTATAAAGCCACAGTCCCATTGGATGAGGGCCCTGCCCTGTGGCCTGATTTAACCCTCTCTCTCAACATCCTACCTCACATCCAAATACCACAGTGCGATGAAGTTTTTACCCTTTTAATACCTCACAATGAGGATAAAGTTTCAACATGAATTTTGGTGGAGCATTCTAACTATAGCAGCATCTTAGAACACTTAAATATTTTTTTTCACTTAAATTTTTAAAAACATAAAATTAAGCATTACACCTAAAAGAAAGCACTATTGAATACATTAATCTGTTTTGTTCTCACCTAAAAGTTTTGCTATTCCTACAGGAAGTAAAATGTGGTGGTTCTCTATAAAAATATAATAGTCAAATTTATTAACCAAAATACAATCTCTAATATAAAATAAGACTATCTGCATGCTCTGTGATAAAATATTTTTGAACATCTTACAGATAGTATAAATACAAACAGGAACTATACTTGATTATTTTTGACTGCCACTTAGTAAATCCAAACAATAAATATAATTATTTCTACATCCAATAATGAGCATTGATTCCCAGATGACAGGAGAAGAGAAGATTTCTCCAGGAAATTCATATACACTTTGTAACTGTCCACTCTCAGATCCCAAGATCCACAGTTTTCCATCAGTAGATGCTGCTGCCAGCAACATTTCACTGTTAGGACTGTGGCTATGGAAAGCAAATGGTGTTGCATACACCCTTGAAGTAGTTTCAAATTTCCACTGAAGGTGACCTTTCATGTTACAACAGTAGATAAAGCAATCGTGGGACCCAAAAAATATTTCTTGCTCTGATGCTGAGGTACAAGGGGAAGAAAAGATTGGTCCGCTGGTAGAGAACTGCCAGACCTGTAAAGGGAAATTAAAGCAAAAATAATTCCCTCAGTTCGTTGCAACAATTCTCCTTTATATTTTAGCTTTATGAAGGTTCTTAATACAAATGTAAGAGATATAGGCTATTTGGTAACTACATCTACCGAAAACAATGGCTTCTGGACAACAGATGTAGTTCAGTGACGAGGCGCTTGTCCAGCACGTGCGAGGCTCTGAGTTCAATTCTCTAGTACCACAAAGGAAAAAAATGGCTGCTTTTGAAAAGTAGCTCCTTTGTACTAGGCTTCTATCCCAGTCGTAAAGTCCAGGGACAAAACACACTGGAGCATTACTACTACATGATTGCTTGTTATGTATAATATTATGAAGTAGAATTAATTGTGAACCCAATCAGGACTTATTCCTGGTATATTTAGAGACACAATGATTCAAAGATAAGACTGTGAAGTTTTCAAAGTATCTTACTGAAATGTGCATCTTACTCTATTCTCCAAATGTTGGGAGAAGGAAGTAATTGGGCTAAGAATTTATGTGCAATAATTTAAATGAGTGCTTTAAAGAAAAAAGCTGTGAGTTGCGTGTCTGTAGATATATATTATTTCTTTATTCCACAGCTACTATACAGACAAACCTATCAGCCAATCTTTTGAAGACACCTGGGGGAACAAAAAGACCTAAGTCTAAAGTAGTATTTACACATGCAGAGTAATAGCAGCATGGGGAAACTGTGGCCATATTCACAGAATGATTTGGAATCTCAATTCTATCCCTGACTTGTATAAAATCACTTTCATTTTCCTATGGCTTATCCAATTAAAAAAAAGGAGTCACAGCACGTGCCATGCATCTCTTCTTGCTTTTCAAGAATCATAAGATAAAACATATTCAAACTATCTTGTAAATAAAAAATATTAAATGAAGATAAGATCTCAACACAAAGTAACTGTTGCACAGAGCAAAAGAAACCACCAGGCTATGAAGGGTGAACATACAATAAAAAGGTTCCAGAATCAAGCCTAGCCATCAATGGGCTAATTCTGTAGGAGCCAGGAGACTCTGAACCCACAAGATGATCCCCCAAATTGAGCCCACAGCAGTAGCTGTCCAGAATGACAGTCACCCACAGCTACTTATAGAAGTTGAGAATGCGTTGCCAAGGAAAGAGCAAATTTAAGCCAGAAGCCTACCCTGTTTGTTAGAAATGAAATTGAGGAACAGAGCCTCTGCACAAGGGAATGTTGGTTGCACAAAAGATTTTGGTTTTGATATTAAAAGGAAAGGGTTTCTTCCAACATTTAAAAAAATTTTTATTAGTACAAGTTTGCAGTACATCATGACTACACTAATTGTGGGAAATTGATACATACACATAACACATCTCAATTCGTTTTCCCTCCTTCCTCATTTTTAACTTTTTTTCCCCCAGCATCAGATTTATAAGTCTTTATGAAGTTAATTATCATAAACACAGATGAACAGTCAGACTGACAAGCCAAAAAAAGATGTAAAACAATTACACTAAATAAAGGTACTCTTTTAAAAACATTAGCTATGCCTTTCAACTTTTGTAACTTCCACAAAAGGTATCATAGAATTGGAAAACACCACTAAGATTTTTTTTTTGGTACCAGGGATCAAACCCGGGTCCTTGTGCTTTCGGGGCAGGCAGCAGAACCACTGAGCTAAATCCCTGGCCCAAACACTGCTAAGATTTTAAAAACCAGGGGAAAGAGATGGCAAAAGTATAAAAATGCTTGGGTAGAAATCTCAAACCCACTACATTATTATTCAAACAAAAAGAGAACCATGACTTGGAAAAATTGAAATAGTCCCAATGCAATCGGTTGATTAATGATGTTTGAAATTTTATTTTGCCATCAATCACCTACTATGCCTTTAAGAAAGATAAGTAAAGCTGGGCATGGTGGTGCATGCCAAGTAATCCCTGTAATCCTAGCGAAGCAGAAGCAGAAGCAGAAACAGAAGCAGAAGCAGAAGCAGAAGCAGAAGCAGAAGCAGGAGGAGGAGGAAGAAGAAGAAGAAGAAGAAGAGGGAGGAGGAGGGGGGGAGGGGGGAGGGAGGAGGAGGAAGAGGAAGAAGAAGAAGAAGAAGGAAAGATGTGTAAAACAGAACTAGATCTTTGTACCTGCTCTCCTGAGTGAGTAAAGCAGAGTAAATTCCCATCAACACAGCCAATACAAATATACTGTCGGCAACACTGAGGGGAAGAGAAGAGAGGTTTTTCACAGGAATGTTTCCAAATTGTGTTCCCAGTAGCCTGCCATGGGCAAAAAAACAATTCATATCATTTAAAAGTATTCCACTAGTCAACTGTCATTTAAAAAAAAAACTCACAAATCTCCTAGAGGCAGAGACAGATCATCAGAAACTGCCACAGTGGCAGGTTGACTTTAAAAGGAGCTAGCATATGTGAAAGAGCTAAGATTAAAAACTTGCAAAAAGAAAAAGGCTAATAACTAGCACGTAAGACCTAGCCTTATAAGGAAGAAAGAATTAAATATGAAAAAAATATCCTTACAACAAACAATAAGATCTTAATATGACTATATGATTCTAGGTTTTTTTGGGGTACCAGGGATTGAACTCAGGACCTTGTGCCACTGAGCTATATCCCTGGCCCCTGTCTTAAAATTTTAAAAATAGGTTAAAAAACACAGACATCAATTCAGATTTTCTCATCTTTCCGGACTTAATGTTGATCATTTTTAATAAATTCTCGTCCAGTCATAAATTAGACCTAACTGAAAACTCAAACATTCCAAATCCAAAGCAAACATAAAATTAATAAAGAGGCAGGTAGTAAAATCAATACAATAATTTTATGCTTACAGGATTTACAGCCAGTAAGAGACCTCCCAGGGTAGCACAATACAAATGATGTGGATTCAGGTTCAAACAAGGAGAAGAAAAGACAGTTCCTTCACATTTTAACTTCCAAACACACTTCTTTTTCTGTAAATACAAATGCAAATTAACTGGTTTTTGCTGGTGGTTAACAAATATATGCTTCCTACACAGAAAATTTTAACTTTACTATAAAATACATACCCACTAGGGAGAATCAAATTAGTATAAAGACAATAAAGGACAAAACTCATAGATACTGTTAAAATTTTAGCAATTTATCTTTTGCTTTTTTTTGGGGGGGGTGTGTACCGTTTAATATAGTTGAAATCAGTCAATGTTCAATTTGATATCATGATTTTTTTGACTTATTTTGTAAAACAACTTTAACATAAGTTGAATATACAATATCCCACATAGGGGCCAGGGATGTAGCTCAGTGGTGCTGTGCCTGCCTGGCAAGTGCAAGGTCCTGAGTTCAATTTCTGGGACCGAAAAAAAAACAATAACCCACATAAATATAAAATACTTGATCTCTCTACTAGATCATTGAAAATCATTTGGAACCAACAATTACTGGTTTTACTGGTCCCAAACGATCTTTAATGATCAGGTAGAGATCACTGCATATTATTAACAACTTAAAAATAGACAGCTTGGTGAATGTGTTTGTCTATGTTTCTGATTATTTTGCCAAGATAGAATCCCAGGAAAAGAATTTTACAGCATGAAAGAAAATGAAATTGTTACCCATGGCCAAATAGTTTTCCTTAGAGGCCTCAACAGTTACAACCTCCTACTACTTTCATCAGCATTTAATGTTATCATTCCAACATTTTTTCTAATCTAATACTATTTGTTTCTCTATCTCATAGTTTTAAATTTTCACTCCTTTGACTATTAAGGGTATGAAACATTTACATACATTTCCTAACCATGTCTTAAGGTCTTATGTTTATGTCCCTTGTTTATTATTATACCTGAGTCTTTATATTTATCTTATTTGTATTTGCTCTTTATTTTCAATTATATTTATAAATACTAACACCTATAAGTATAATACTTTCAAGTATAAATAGCTTTGGCTTTTTTAGAGGTATTTCCAAATTTTTCCCAGCTTGTTTCTTTTAATTTTATAGTCCTTAAATTTTTATATTTTTATGTAATCAGGTCTTAAAATATCTTACTGATATTTTTGTGATGTTTTTCTGTTGTCAGTATAATAATTCTAAGTTCTTTATTTTTTTTGTTTTTTTTTTTTGGTACCGAGGATCGAACTTGGGTCCTTGTGCTTGCGCAGCAGGCGGCGAAACCACTGAGCTAAATCCCTGGCCCCTCTAAGTTCTTTATTTTTGAAAAGTTATTTGTAGTAAATTTAGTAAGGAGGTTAAAAAGTTTTAAGATATTAAAATTTAATTCACCCTTCTTTCTAAATGCTGACCTTGCCAACAGTAACCACCTGTTCCCAGACTCCATAGTACCCGGCAGTTTCTCACTCTTCTATGCTTATGGTGTAAGAGTGATAAGGTGAATTCTTACATAAATATCTAAGGCATATGCATGCTGGTCATGAGATCCAATGTAAATGAGTCCTGTGATTGGGTCCACAGTTGCTGAGCTTTTGACAGTGTCCTCAGTAGTAAATATCCAGTACTCTTCTCCGTTATTACTTTTCAGAACATAAACTAATCCATTATAACAGCCTACAGAGAAACAAAATATGAAAGACGAGATTTAGATACGTCCCTAGAAAATAACTGCTCAGCCTAAATCATGATAGTTGACAGTCAATGCACTTCGTAAGAACTTATGCTCACTCATCTGACTTAATTTTCAGGAGTGTAAATCAGGAACAGAAATCACCTGTGTAAAATTCCTACTCAGTGGTGACACCTTAGTTTTCCTAAGCACTGTACAATAAAGAGCTTCCAGGAAAAATAAAGCACACTGTGGCAGAGAAGGTTTGACAGAACCGAGTCAAATCTCATTATGGCTGCTATTGGGCAAGCTACCCAGCATCAATGGGTGTCAGATTATTCTGCAGAATGTGAATTCATCTACTTCCACAATTACTATATCAATACTACAACATAGATAGATGCCCAGAGCATAGAAGGTGTTCAAGAAATGCTAACAAATAATAGTCAATGTTCCTTGAGCACTTACTCTGTCAGGTGCTTTTTTAAGGGATTTTTTTTTTTTTTTCTGAGACAGGGTCTCATTATGTAGTCCAGGCTGGCCTTGAATCAGCTATGTAACCAAGTATGGCCTCAAATTCACGATCCTCCTGCCTCAACCTTCTGAATGCTGGGATTATAGGCATGCACCATCATACAGTGCTCATCTAAGTATTTTGCATCTATTAACTCATTTAATCTTCACAGTGAAGCAAGTGCTAATATATGTATATTTTACTGATATCACAGAAACACAGAGGTTAAGTTACTACAGCAAAATTACAAAATTAACATGTAGTAGAGCCAGGCATGATAGTACATGCCTGTAATCCAACACTTTGGGAAGTTGAGACAGGAGGATTGCAAGTTCAAGCCCAGCCTAAGCAACTTAGCTATTTAGGGAAACCCTGTCTCAAAATGAAAAACAATTAAAAGGTCTGGGAATATAGCTCAGTGTAAAGGCCCTGGGTTCAAACTCCAGTACCAGGGGAAAAGAAATGACAGAACCAGGACTTAAAGTCAAGCTCTAGAGCCTATGTTCTTAACTTTCCCAAATTGCTGCCTTGTAAGTCCAAAAGCCTAGTTGGAAGGACCTGATCAAAATCTACAAAGTTCTGTCCCCTGGATGCATGTAAATCAGAGGAAGCATGGTCTGAGTGGCTATTTAGGGCAACTTCATTTGCCTCCACTCTAGATGGCTCTGCCCATGGCCATCAAATTCTGATTCAAGTAGATACCAGCTAGGATAGCAGAAGTAGGGAAACACATTCCTAAGCACTCAGTCTGAAAAATCTTTGATTCCAGGGCCACAGAAAGTGAAACTTAGTTGGGGAAATAGTAAGAGTGATAATCAGGCAGAGACACTACACTTAGGACCCCAATATTCCTAAGTAAAAGTCATATAGCTTAATGAAAGTGAGCTGCAGCTAGTAGCTAACACTTATAGACTCTCTGTGCCAGGTATGATGGTGCACACTTGTAATCCCAACACTGAGGGATGCTAAGACAGGAGGGCAAGGAAGGCTCACCTGAGCAACTTAGTGAGATCTTGTCTCAAAATGAAAAATAAAAAAGGCTTGGAATGTAGCTCAATGGTAGAATGTGGCCTAGGTTCAATCCCCAGTACCAAAGGGTGGGGGGTGGGGGGAGTAAGTGCCTGGAAATGTACTAATGGACTCATAAGCAATTATCTCACCTAATCCTCCTAAAAATCTCTTTGATGATTGCGGTAGTTTTAAAATAGGTCTACAAATTCTTTGTTGCTCTTCTTTTCAAGAGGTAGGGCCTAATTCCTCTCTCCTTCAATGTGTACTAGACCTAGCGATATACTTCTACTGAAAAGAATGATGCAAAAATGAAGATATACAAGTCAAGAGCTCAGGGCATGAAAGGTACTGTGCTCCTCAAGTCCTCTGGGGCCACCCACCTCTCAGGGCAGTTACTGCCATGCTGTCAGGGCACTGCAGCAGCCTACACAGAGGCTCTGGTGGCAAAAACCAAAGATTCTTGCCAAGAACCAGCAGTGAACTGAGACTTCCTGTTAACAGTGATATGAATAAGCCATCTTGGAAAGCAAATTTTCCAGGCCAAGTAAAGCCTTCACCTAGTTACAGAAACATGAGAGCCTGAGCCAGAATGGCCAGCTAAGCTGCTCCTAAATTCCTGACCCACAGAAACTGTGAATGGTAAATGTTTGTCCTCCTGGGTTATTAGGTTTTGAGATAATGCAACATTTGTTTGTTTCCACTTTACTCATGAGAAAATTGAAGTTCTAAAAAATCTAGCAACTTCACTAAGGTCACAAAGCTTGTGACAACTGTAAAGCTAGGTCCAAATCCAGTGCTCTGACCCCAAGGACCACAGTTAATCAACACTGAGTTACCTGTTATTCTTTGATAGCAACCAAAACTACCATACATAGGTGTTTTTTTTAAATTTAACTTGGTCCTACCAGCATTATTCTATAATTCAATTTAACTGTACAAGCCTCAAATTCAGAAACTTACCCACTACAATAAAGTTTCCACACATAGAAACACATGCTGATGACTCAATTCGATCTCCCAAAATCTGTTCCCATTTCACCTTCCCAGAGCGTAAGTCAACTGCCTTCATTCTGTGGGAATGTGAGCCAATGTACACAGTTGTAGATGAATTATCACCAGCTGGTATAACAACCAGAGGGGAGGCATCTACACATTTGCCTGTGTCTGACTTCCACCTCACACGTATCTCCATTTTCTCAGCCTTTGTAACAGGGTTCCCTTCTTCAAAAACTTTTTTAACACAGTTTGGATCTTTTGACTTCCCAATGACAGGTGGAGGATTTAAGCTTTTCAAATCTTTAATGTTAGTCTGTGAAATTAAATCAGGAGAACAGGCTAAAGAATAATGTCCTAACTCACTTAAAAATGTTGTAGTATTCACAGACAAAACCTGACTCCCTCTGCTGAGCGCAATAAAAGCATTTATCTCTTTGTAACTGAAAGGGCAGGCAGACTTCTGATGTAAAGATTTTCTGCTGGTTTCCTCTTCATCAGTGTCACTGAGTTTCCTTTTGGTGGCATAAGTCTTGGTGAATGTCAGGTCTTCCACTGCAAACACCGTTTGAAGGATGTAATTGTAAATCTCTAAAATGGAACTTCTGAGGATAATTTCCAAAAGGCCAGGTACTGGTGTACCAACAAGTTGTTCAATCTCACTGAGAAGCCGTATGGACTTTAGGGAATCTCCACCACTATTTAAGAAAAGTGACTCATCAGGAACCTTCAATAGATCTTCTGGGAGACTCAGAATAGACTAGAGACAGAGAAGAGAGAAATTTTGTGAAGGCCCCAAACCAAAGTAATATATAGAGATAATCATATGTACATTAAAGATATGGACATATAAAAACAAAATAGTGCTGGGCATATAGCTCAGAGGTAAAGCACTTGCCTAGTATGTGCAAAGCCCTGAGTTTGATCACCACACTATAAAAAAGTAATAATAAAATCATTTTCTTTATACTTGCACTAAAGTAGATCATTACTATGCTACTAATTTTATCATAAACTTGCTCTAAAACTGAGAAACATATGTCCCTTTAGAGCAGTTTTTCTACCTATAAAATAAGGAATGGGGATACAAAAACATCTGTTTTACTTATTATAAAGCCCACAAGATACTAATAGCTGATACTGCTATAATATGGGAATATTTATCCTTATCTACTTCATGTAAATCAAAATGACAAGAATCTAAAAATAAAGTAGATAAGACTTTTAACCTGATAGTCTTTACTTTTTTTTTTTTTTTTTTTGGTACTGGGGATCGAACTCGGGTCTTTGCGCTTGCGCAGCAGGCGGTGAAACCACTGAGCTAAATCCCTGGCCCCAGTCTTTACTTTTATAGACAAAACTAAACAAATACATCCTCCTTTAAGAACTCTTTAGAAAAGAAAAATCTACATTTTAAGAAAAATTGTTGGACTACTGAGACATATATACAAAAAGATTTCCCTTAAGCAGAAACACATATGTTGTCACTGAAAGTTCTGTAGCAGGGCTGGGGATTTAGCTCAGTGGTTTCACCGCCTGCTGTGCAAGTGCAAGGACCCGAGTTCGATCCCCAGTACCAAAAAAAAAAGAAAAGAAAGTTCTGTAGTAGATAGATTATGGCACAGCAAGGTCTGGGTGTTTCACAGCTCTGACAAAAGTATTACTGTACTCGCTGGCCCTTCAGGGAAAATTATGTCAAGAGAGCCTTTGTCTACTTGTGCCTTTTTTTTATTAGTACATGTCTGCAACGCATAATGAATCCACTCATGATGGGAAGCTGGTATATATACATATCTCATCTTAATCTTTTTTATTTCCTTTATTCTCTCCTCCCTCCCCTCTCCCTCAACCTTGTGCCTTTTTTCCCCCTCTCTAACTTAGGCTTATCATTCCCTCAAAGAAACATATTTCTTTGTTGGAGCTTAATCTAATCTTACAATAGAGAATCTAACCTTTATTTCAATATAAACTAAATACATGAAGCAATACTACCTGATACTTGCACAGTAATAACATTCTTATCAGATTTATTAAGATGCTAGCAAGTGCAAGGTCCTGACTTCTATCCCCGGTATGGGAGGAAAAAAAAAAAAGAGGTAGATGACATTATAAGGGCCGGGGATTTAGCTCAGTGGTTTCTCTGCCTTGCTGTGCAAGTGCAAAGACCCGAGTTCGATGTCCAGTACCAAAAAAAAATAAAAATAAAAAAAGAATCTGTATTTGAAAAGTTGTACCTTCCACAAACACTGTAATTTTTCCCAAAGATCCTTTTTTCCATCAAACTTATTCTCTGTCTTCAAGTTTACATAGTCTAAATATATCTTGTTTAACTCAGAGGCATTAACTTTGCCTTAATATAAAGGAAAAAGAACAAGTGTTTTACAATAACATCTAAAATTTCACCTCAGAGCCTTTATATTTTCATCAGTCACACACATTGTTCATGAGTCACACATATTTTTTATTAGTCACACATATTTTTCATTGTAAAGCTTAGAAATCATAGAGTAGTTTGTCATAGATAATCAATTCTGAAGAAAAAGTCCAGTGCTACCAAGAATGTAGTGAAAAAAATCCAAAGCACCAAGATTGTAGTAATAGGTAAGAGGAAAAGAGGAGCTAGTGTTTATCTACCATGAAGAGCTAAAGAAATGATCATTTTGGCCAGGCATGGTGATGCACACCCATAATCTCAGCACTCAGGAGGCTAAGGCAGGGGGATCACTGCAAGTTCAAGGCCAGCTTGGACTACATAGTGAGTTCAAGGCCAGCCTGGAGCACACAGTGAGATCCCGTCTCAAAAAACCAAAAAAATAAAAAATAACAAAAAATAACAAAAAAAATTCATGTTAAGCTGAGCAATTACTGTTAACTGAACAATTACTATATTTTAAAGTATATATAAAATAAAAATGAAATTGAGAAGGCAATATAATGTAGTGACTAAAAGTATAGTTTTTGAAGCCAAATAGTTTCAGGGAGAATTTCAACTCTACCACAGTGATGGGTAATTTTATGTGTCAACTTAAGTGGGCCATGATAACCAGATTAAACACTGTTTCTGGGTATGTCTAGGAAGGTACTTCAGGATGAGAGTAGCATATGAATCAGTGGGCTCAGGACGTAGACTGTGACCCCCACCCCCAATCCCATGAGGGCACCAACAGAACAAATGGCAGAGGGAGGAGGAATTCATCCTTTTTCCCTCCCTCAGTTTTTGAGCTGGGACATCTCATGTCATCTCTGGGATTTATATCACTGGCTGCCCATTAAACTCAGACTGAATTACACCACCAGCTTTCCTGGGTCTCTCGCTTGCACACAGAGCATGGGACTTCTCAGCCTCGGCAACTGCCTGAGCACAATATTAAATCTCCTTTTCGTATGTCTATCTAAATATTAGTTCTGTTTCTCTGGAAAACCCTGACTAATATAACTTCTAACTAGTAAAGTGATTTTGAGAAAATTATCTCACTTGTTTAAGTCTTACTTTCCTCCTCTGCATATGGGAATAAAATACCTATCCAGAGTATTTTCTGAAGATTAAATGAGTTAATTATACAAAGCATTTAACAAAGAGTCTACTGCAATAAATGCTAGCATCATTTATAATAATAAAGATACATGTGGCCATTATACTAGTTATAAATACAATCAGTGGCATCTGGCAGTGAACATATCTGCTTGAAATTATTTTACCATGAGATGTAAATGGCAGGGTATCAATCAACACAAGGTCATCTGGGATAGCATGATTTGGAAGACGTTGCTGCAGTTCTTTAAAGATGTGATCTTTTACTACATCATCTTTGGACACTATGAACAGAATTAATTTTTCCTGATTATACCATGTAACTGCACAAGATTCTACTTGCTGAAGTTCTTCAGCAACCTGTAAGAGAGATCATCCCAATTTGTAAATAAGGATATTTAAAAGTGAACTTTCCAAGTGCTCCGGTTTGTTATGCATAAAATCAGTACAGCTAATTTAAATTTTGGTATATACTAGTGATTTGTTAAAAATTGTTTGCTAGCATAACTAGCACACAGGGTTCTTAACATTTTTCAAAAACAACGTCCAGTGCCGGGGATTTAGCTCAGTGGTTTCACCGCCTGCTGCGTAAGCGCAAGGACCCGAGTTCGATCCCCGGTACCAAAAAAAAAAAAAAATACATACCTCTTACTGTAATTCATCACTAATATAAAAACCTTAGTTATAATTAATAGAGATGAGAAACTGGTATATAAATTTCGTGGTAGCTCCCTCTAATGCCTAGATATATTAATTGGTATTTAATATCTAAATAGCTCTACCTGTTGAACAAGTTCAATATTAAGACGTTTGCCGTGACGTTTGATCTGATTGTCCTTCCGTCCCAGAAAAAATATCTCTCCACCTTTCACAGTCACAAAGTCTCCTGTGGCTCGCATTGTGCCAAGGGGTACTGTCACTTCATCATCAAGAAAACACACTCTGTTTTTGCCACCTTCCAAAGATATAAACACTGATATTAACTTTAAGAAAAAAAAAGGAATATATTAAACACCATCAAATCAAGAACATTCCCAAAATTTCAGTTAGCAAGTCTCAAAATCTGAAGATGGAATTCACTTTTAAATAATACTGGATAAATTCAGACACAGTAACTCCATAAAATAAAATTATTATTTAAAATGTGTGATTTCTTAAATTCTTAGTTTCTAAGTTGCTTTTACTAGAGTATTAGACATTATATGAGATAATTATAGTAACTTATTAAATGTTTCACGACTATGAGATTGATAATTGAAAAGCACACTAGACAAAGAAAATAAGGAAAATGATAAAACAAACACATCCATTTTTTTCTCTTGAAAATAGACATTCCAAGTCAACAAATGTGAAACAACCTAAAAATACTTGGCCATTGCCTTCTTGAATTGTGAAGCCATTTGTATCTCTGACTTCAACCACAGTTCCAAGCAGTGGAAATCCCAGTTGCACAGGCAATTCACATCTATGAAAAACACAACCCAAAGCCAACTTAAACTTTTACACTGGAATCAAGTATTTCTCAGTGTATTTAAATCACACTGTACCAAAGGTGGAGGGGGGTGGAGTTTGTTACGGTATAATTCAAAGACTGACAAACAGAAAAGGTTAGGTAAAATGACTATCATGTATTTTTCTTTATGATTTAGTAACAAAAGCTTCTAGAAAGATCTTAGCACCAGTTATAAGAAAGGTTCTAGACTTCCAACTTTAAAAGACTAGATAAAATAGCATTTCTTAAATCATGACATCGATGCCTGCAAAACTGTCAGGCTGGATGTAGAGCTCAGTAGTAGAACATGTGCCGGCCTGCAAGGCCCTGCCCTGCTTCAAACCCTAGCACCACTCGCGCCCCATCATCCCCCAGCAAACAAACCAAAGCAAAGCCCCACTGTTAACATTAAGATCCTAGAAAAATATAATCTTTTCCCTCTCTACTTACTTCAAAGTAGAGTTAAGAATCTTCTCAGGAATCCTGTAAAACGTTGCCCAACTTGATACCTCTGTGATACCATAAATATTAAATATTTGCGTTTTATTTCCTTTTCCTATCCAGCTTTTGAGTACAGTCAGTGATGGGAATGGTTCTCCACCAAGGGCTAACACTCGAAGAGAAGTACTGGCTGATAAAACAGTGGACTTGACAAGCTGAGACCCAAATCTTCTAAGCAATGTTGGTGTTGCCTATGGGTATATTAAAAAAAAATTCATTTCTTTCCCCTCACTTCTTAAAACTAAACACTGTAATATTAAGCTCAAAACTTTATATTGGGGCCCACACATGGAAATCAAGACTGTGATAACCAAATGGCAAATCATATTTGGAAAACCATTAAGGCAACCATTATCTTTTCAATGTAGATAAAGATTTGTTAGAAAAAAAAAGCCAAAATATTAGTTGTTTTATGATATAGTTTGTAAGTTAAAAAGTATAAAAATCTGTAAAACCAGTTTACATTTCCCTTCCCATTATCTCTATCTACAAAAAGTACATAAAAGGGTTAAAATATACCTAAGCAAATTAAGAAAGTTTTTTCAAAGGCAATTTCATTGAGGTACAACTGACAGGACGTATAATAAGCTATTTTAAGTGCACACTTTAATATAGGTTTTAATATATGGACTGGGTAATTTATAGACAACAAAAACTTACTGGCCACAGTTCTGTAGGCTAAGAAGTCCAAGGTATGGGCAGATTTATTGACTAGTGAGGGCTCTGTCTGCTTCAAGGATGGTGCCTCTTTTTTTGGTACTGGAGATCGAACTCAGGACCTTGTGCTTGCGACGCAGGCAGTGGAACCACTGAGCTAAATCCCTGGCCCTGATGGTGCCTTTTTTTTGAGATGGGATCTCACTAGGTAGCCTAAACTGGCCTGAACGCATGCAATCCTCCTGCCTCAGCTTTCCAAATGCTGGGATCACAGGTATGCGCCACCATGCCTGGCTCATAGATGGCGCCTTTTTTGCAATGTTTTCACATGGTAGAAGGAACAGCCAATCGCTCTGAGGCCTCTTTTACAAGGGCACCATTCACAAGGCCTCCATACTTATGACCTAATTACCTCCCAAAGATAATACCAACACATTGGGAATTAGATTTTAATACACAAGTTCTGGAAACATTCAGACCATAGCAATATTCATTACCCTTAAAATTATCTATGTGCCACTGTAAATCTTCCCTCCACCAGACCCCTTGTCCAGAAAACTGATTTATTTCTGTCACTATTGATCAGCTGGCAATTTCTAGAATTTTATATAAATGGAATAACACCACATGTAGTCTCTTTTGACTTGGCTTCTTTCATATTCAACATATTTTGCAATTCATCTATGTTATGTTATGTGCATCAATAGTTTATTCCTTTTTATTGCAGAGTGGTATGCATTGTATGGATTAGGACTGGCTAGTGCATTTCTACATAAAATTTAGGATTTGTCAATTTCTACAAAAAGTCTACTGGGATTTTGATAGAGATTGTATTTAATTCAATTTATAAATCAATTTGAGGAGAACCTCAATCTTGACAATATGAAAATTCCTTTCCAGAAACAATGAAATGTCTATTTAGGTCTTTAATTTCTACCAAAGTTTTATAATTTTCAGTGGTTAAATCTTGCTTTTCCTTAAACTTACTCCTCTTTTATTATTTCTATACTATTTTAAATAAATTATTTACTTTAACTTTGAGTTTTAATAAATACAAATAAATATATATATTCATACATAAATACAACTGAGTTTTGCATATTTTACTTACATCCTCCAAATCTGCTAAAAATGTGTTTATTAGGTCTAGTAGTCTTCCTGCTAGGCAGAAAGTTAATATTAGCAGGCTTGGAGACAAGTGGCTAGGGGCTACTTGAAAAACAAAGAAAAAGTAACATTCTTTTCCTTCACCTTCATAACCATTAGCTACAGTAAAATTTACACAAGCTTGTAGTTTCAAACCTTAGCTTAAGAGAAGATAACCTCCTCTGAGCGTGCTGATAAGGTCCAGGGTGGTATGAAATCCAGACCATGGATGAGGGGATAGAAAAGCTCAAGGACTCAAAACAAACTACCCAAAGAACATGCAAGTAGGGAGTAAACCAGACCTAGCGATCAAGTCAACACAGCCTATTTTCATTGTGAAAGAACAATGACCTAGTTAAAGGGAGTGGATCAAAGGAGTGTGAACTTGGGGACTGTATACTGTTCCTGGAGGAAGGAAAGGATATTCCTCGAAAGATTCTGTTAATCATATAAATGTAACCTGAGACCTCATTCAGTGCAACTGTCACCTTGGCACTTGCCTGCCTTCATGCCCCCGAAGGTGTATAATCTCTTTTTTTCTCTCCCTCTCTCTCTGTCTGGAAATCTATCATTTTGCAAGAAACTCCACTTATACTCTATTCAATAGCCTACATGTCTAGTCAGAAATTTTCTGTCAAAAACACAAGAACTGAGGTGTGTCACTAGTTCCTTGTGGTGCTAGAATCTGGGTTCCCGGTGACATTCCCTTCTTCTCCCTGCCTCCCAACAGGGTTTTCTAATATTGGATCAAGGCTTCTGCACATGAGAGTTTACTTCCACCAATCCAATTAATTTCAATTTCCTTTTCTCCTCCTTCTTTTCTCCTTGGTATGGTTTGGGTCTCAGATATTTTGCAAAAGGCTCATCTGTTAGGAAGAGGGGCCTTGGGAAGTGCCTGGATCACGGGGCTTCAAACTTCTTCCACTGGTGGATTCATAATCTGAAGGTATCATTGGGAGGTGTGGGAGACTTAGAAGGTAGGGCCTACTTAAAAGGAGTAGGTGAGGGGAGCACGACCTTAGGGACTGTATCTTGTCCCTGGATCCCTTCCTTTTGGCTCTTTGCTTCTTTGCTTCTTGGCTGCCATGAGGTGAGCAGCCTTCCTCCATCACATCCCCCTGGAATGATTTTTCACCTCACTACAGGCCTAAACACAATGGAACCAGCAGACTATGGTCTGAAACCTCTGAAACAGTGAGCCAAAATAAACGTTCTCTCCTTCAAATTGTAATTCTCAGATATTTTGTCACAGCAACAGAAGGGGGACGAACACAGCCTTAGTACACTGACTAGAATGCCAGAATAATGTTGTAATAAAAGAAAATATCCTTGCTTTGTTCCCGACATTAGGGTTAAAACAGTCAGAATTTCATCAAGTATGAGGTTAACTGTAGTTTTTTATAGGTGCCCTTTATCAATTTGGAGAAGTTCCTTCCTATTGAAAGTCTGATGACAGTCTTTCTATAAACCGTAAATGGGTATAAATATGTGCCTTTTGTCCATTATTCTTTATGGCATACATCAGTGGACTTTTGAATGCTAAAACAAACATACATTTCTGGGATAAATCTCACTTGGTCACTTTTTATAAGGAAGAAAACCACACTGTCTCAAAAAAGTAAAATATATCTAATTTTGTCTTAGAAAATAAAAACTTATTATCCTCCTTGTATCTCATTGCATTAGATAACCTGATATGTTAAAACTCTCACCCCCTAGGTCAGTGATGGCCAATCTTTTAAAGCTTTCAGTGATCCTAACAGCCCGGTGTAGCACACATGCCATAGGTTTACCGCCACTGCCCTAAGTAACTGAAATAGGAAATGAAGCCTTTGGCAGGTGATTTGGTCACCAGGGAGAGCTGCATGAATGACACCGATGCCCTATGAAAGCAGTCCAAGAAAAAGTCCTTGCTCCTCCTACCTGGAGGACAACCAGGTCCACAATCAGTGAGGGTGCCCTCAGCTGACACTGTTATCTGCTGGGCTTTGATCTTGGACTTAAGACTCCAGAACTGTGAGAAATGGATTTCTGTGGTAGGTAAGCTGCTCAATCATGGGATTGTGTTGTAACAGTCTGCATGGACTGAGACACATACATACTTGGAGCTGTACTTTACTATTTCATTTAATTCTTACCATTACATCAAGTAAATGTTATCTCCACCCACAGCTAAAACCTGAGGCTCATAGCAGGTAAACTCTTAGCTAAAACATCTATATATCATGATATATAATTTTGTTTTCTCTTTAGCCATTTATAATGCAATATCTTTTTTTTTTTGGTACTGGGGATTGAACGCAGGTCCTTGTGCTTGAGTAGCAGGCGACGAAACCACTGAGCTAAATCTCCGGCCCTATAATGCAGTATCTTAAGGCTTGTGTTCATATACTTTCAAATACATTTAAAATATGTTTTAAATATTTGTTTCTATAGCTTAATGTAAAAATTAAAAAATCTAAATTCCTACTCAATTTACCCATACTAGCACCAAGAAATGTAATATACTTAATTTTTTTTTTTTTTTTGGTACCGGGGATCGAACTCAAGTCCTTGCACTTGCGCGGCAGGTGGCGAAACCACTGAGCTAAATCCCCGGCCCAATATACTTAAATTTAAGATAGAAGACATTGAAACAGCATAGCCCAGTAAATTTGAAAATCAAGTACCTCTGGCCATTATGCTATGCGCAAAGCACATAAGTTTTCTATGAAAAATTAGTTTTTCATTTTAAAATAAACATGTAATAACATGAACGGTCAGCCCTCGATAATCTAACTAGATTATCGTTAATACATTGCAAAGAACTATAGAAATATAAAGTATTCTTTAAAACATCTGAAATATTGAATAATTAAAGACAAAATATTTCCTTTGCTCCTAAAATGTACCTGCAAAACTGTCACTCTGTGATGGGTAAAGAGAACAGGAGCTAGTTTTGATGGGAGCACCTTGACAGAAGTTGGTACAATAAGCAGAGAGGCACCACTTGATAAAGCAACAAATATTTCCACAACAGAAGGGTCAAAGGTCAGAGGTGCAGCCAGAAATAAAACATCTTCTGGTGTAATGTCAAAAAGTTCCCTAAGGCAAAACAGAACATAGTTAATAAGAAATATCTGACCAAGGACACCTGTAATCCCATTTAGGAGGCTGAGGCAGGAGGATTCCAAGGTTGAAGCAGGCCTGGGCCAACTTAGTGAAACCCTGTCTCAAAAGGAAATAACAAGGGCCAGAGATTTAGCTCAGTGGTGTTGCCGCCTGCCTCGAAAGCACAAGGTCCTGAGTTCAATCTCCAGTACCAAAACAAAACAACAACAAAAAGAAATAACAAAGAGATATAGCTCAGTATTCCCTAGGTTCAATCCCCAGCACTGAAAAAAAAAAAAAGTCCAACATTTGGTGGACACATACCCTAAAAAGGTAGTTAAATTTTCCAATGTTC